AACCATCAAAATGTAAAGATAAACAGTAAGAGGGAAAGGGCAAAGGATACACAAGCAATCAGAAAACAACCAACAAAATGACAGGAATAAGACGTCACATATCAATAATAACCTTGAATGTAAATGTATTAAATTCCTCAATTAAAAGACACAGATTGGCTGAATGGATAAGAAAATATGGTCCATTCATATGCTGCCTACAAGAAGTATACCTTTAAGAAAAGAACATACAGGCTGGAAGTGAATAGATGGAAAAAGATATTCCAGGCAAATGGAAAATGAAAGTGAGCATGAATAGCTGTACATACATCAGGTAAAACAGACCTTAAATCAAAATCTGTTCTAAGAGATGAGGAAGGGCATTGTATAATGATAAAGAGATCAACACAGCAAGAGGATATAACAATTATAAATATCTAAGCACCCAACACTGGACTACCCAGATATATAAGGCAAAAATTATCAGACCTAAAGGGAGATATAGATGTCAACATTTTAATAGTTGGGGACTTTAATACTTCACTCTCAGCATTGAACAGATCATTGAGACAGTATACCAAGAAAGAAATATCAAATTTATTTTTAAAATTTTTTTATTTTTTCGTCTTTTTTTGTGACCAGTAAGGGGATCACAACCCTTGGTGTGGTGTCGCCCACACCGTGCTCAGCCAGTGAGTGCACCAGCCATTCCTATATAGGATCTGAGCCCGCGGCAGGAGCATCGCTGCGCTCCCAGCGCCGCACTCTCCCGAGTGCACCATGGGCTCGGCCCAGAAATATCAAATTTAAATGGCTTCATAGGCCAGGTGGACTTAACGAGACATTTGGACATTTCATCCAACAGCTGCAGAATACACATTATTTTCACCCATGAGGGATTCATCAGCACATGGAACATTTTCAAGGATTGACCATATGCTGGGACATAAAACTTGTTTCAACACACATCTCACAAATGGATTAATGCCATTATAAAAAAAAACTTGACAGGAGGAGTTTATCCCTTTCACCCTTCCATTTCTTCCACCATGTGAGAACCCAGAGCTCCTCCTGAAGTGGATGCAGTGTCAATGTGCCATCTTGGAAGAAGAGAGAGGTCCTCACCAGACAGCTGAACCTGACAGTGCCTAGATCTTGGACTTCTAAGCCTCCAAAACGGTGAGAAATAAATTGATGTTCTTTATAAATTACCCAGTCTTAGGTAATCTGTTATAGAAACATATAATGAGCTATGATAACCACCTTCCATACCTGTAGTACACTACATCACTCAGGATTCAGTACAAGGCCTGATGGAACATCAGCAACATGAATGAAAGGGGACTGGAAGTGTGAGGGGCAGATGAAACACTGGATGGGGAAATAAGTTGGTTTTGATCTGGGTGTAATGGGGAATAACCATAGTCCAATCCTCAGCATTCAAGGCTAGAATGGCATGATGTCAAAGCCCCTGTGAAAATGACCAAAGCTCAAGCCAGAGCACCAATTCCAGTGATCAGATGTCAGACACCCCAAGCCTAAATTGGGACTGAGTGTGTTTGTGGGTGCAAAGGACTGTCCAAAGCAACACAAATCATGGACCCTTAGAGATAACCACAATATACTGTGCTCATCAGGAAATGCATCTGCCTTGGAATTATCATTGTAGCTTTTGAGCACTGTTCTGGCAGCAGTGGGATTTTCATTTATTTCTTAAATTTATTTAACACCTGTTTATCAGCAACGTATTATGTGCCAGACCTTGTGCTCAGTGATTGGAGTATGTATTCTAAAAGAGCTTACAAAAGAATAGAGGGAGATGAAGAGAAAGATTCATGGGATCACTTTGGAGTGGAGAGTTGGGGTATAGTCAAGAAAGGCTTTATGACTAAGATGGCCATAAAATTTATTGTCCAGACCAACACACTTTGGAGAGGTAAAGGGGCCATATTTATAATTTCACTGAAACAAGAGGAGATATACCTCTTTCTGTGCAACCATGTGATCTCCCAGAAATTATTCCACTTAAAGAGATGAGAACGAAACAGAATTCAGAAGCCAAAGGAAAAGTGCTAAAGGGTGGTAGAAGGAAGTGGATAAGGGATCCGAACTTTGCCTTTACGTGTGTTCTTATACAATTATTCTACTACTCTCTGCTTCAGATACTCATTTGTAAAGAAAGGAGAAACAGTACCTATAATTTAGGTAAGGATTTGATGAGTAAAATGTGAACAGCTCATAGTAAGTACCATATATGGGGTACTTCACAACATACATGGAAAAATAAAATTAAAAGATAATATTAACTTTTTGATGTACCCTCATATGTATACCTCCAGGCTACTGATGACATAAGAGTTAGGCTAGGAACTAATCTGCCTCATTCTTTTTATTGACTGCACAGCAATTGATAGTACACATTCATCGTATTGGTTGGGATTTTCTTCAAAATACTGCATAACAAACAATCTAAAATCTCAGTAGCTTACAACAAGAGACATTTCTCACTCAAAAGCCTGCAGGTTGGAAGAGGCAACTGTCCTTCAGACTCTGGGTCAGGTTCAGTTCTGCTCTCCTCTGTATTCCTCATTCTGAGACCCATGCTAAGGGGCCCCAGTTGCATGGGCTGAGCTTTTCTCATGGCTAAGGTCAAGCTCAAGAGGCAAACCAAATGATCCAAACCCATTCAAAGCTTTTGATTGGAAGCAGCTTTTGGTATGTGGTTCATGAAGTGCTGGCTATAACAAGTCCAAATGCAATTGGATAGACATTTATATTCTGCCATGAATCCAGTGAATCCATGGCAAGGATGGGAAAGGAAGAAAGAATTGTGAGCAGATAATACTGTCTACCTAGTCACCGAACAAAATTAACTAAGTTCCCATTCTATATGAAGATTACCTCTAATTTTCACTATCATGAACAATAGTGAATTGAACATAAAATATGTGTGTATTTTTACATATAACATATACTTATTTATTGTATATATTCATTCTGTGAGATAAACTCCTAGAAGAGGAAGGGTATCATCTCAATATATTTTTACTGCGTTAAAACATATATAACATAAGAATTTCCATTTTAAGCATTTTTAAACACACAACTGCATGGAATTAATTATATTTACAATGCTTTGTAACCATTACCTTTGTCACTTTCCAACACATAATCTCTGTACCCAGTAAGCAATAACTTCTCATAAACCTCTAATTTCTTGTAACCTCTAATCTACTTCTGTCTCTGAAATGTTTTCTTCTTAATTTATCTTTTTCTTAATTGACCTATGACAATTGTTAAATACAAATTTTCTTGATAAAATTGCCCAATTGCTCTTGTTGTATTCATTTACTGTCCTGCCCATCTCTCCATCCTAAGAGAGTTCTTTGATAGAAGCAGAGGGGGTTCTTAGAAGAGGCTGCAGTGCAAGAGGTGAGGTTAATCATATGGTAAAGAATAAAGGGGGTCGGTAGTGGAACTGCCACCTAGAGACAGAGAAAGGAGGGGGTGGGCCAAGGAGGCAGGAAACAGTGAGGTTGAGAAGAAAAATATTGTTATGTAAGATTTTTTTTTTGGCAAATGTGAAGAATCAGAGTTAACTAATCAAAAGTTGGTATTATTTCTTTATTAACATTTTGTAAGTGCCAGGGTCCCCTTCACCTTGGAAGAATTTATAATCCTTGTGCAGCTAAAGACTTCTTAAACCTATTTCAATGGTATGGTATACATCTTGATTAACACTTACATATAGGTTACAAGAAACCCTTATTTTAGCACATTACACAAAATTACCACGGTTTTAGCTCCTCCTCAACTCAGTGTCATAACCACTTATACGTATGAGAGAAACTTTATCAGGACAGGTGGACTACATCAGTCTTAGCTTGCAACTTTTGCCTTATGTCCTGGGAGGCCCCTCTCACATTTCTTTTTCATCCTACATCCATGAGACTGAAAGTCAACATTTTTATAGACATCTCGGCTCTTGAACCTGTTCCCCATGCTCAACATTGATAGATAAAAACACAAACACCCAGGATTAAATGAGCTCCACTTATCACCTACAGAAAAGACCAGGAGCATGCTGAGAAAAAAGGAGTTTAAGTTACTCCTGAATGATGTGGCTAAAAAAGATTGAGAAAAGGCAAGTTGGAGAGCTGTGACAGTGCTTAATTCTGGAGCTTCTATAAATTCCAACCTCATATAGTGGACACAATCATTATGCTCCTCTTCCTATATTGGAATAGTTATTCTATCTATTACGCCTGTCCTGTAGAAACTTACAGAATATAGAAGCACCGATATTGATCTTCCAGTTTCCCTGGCAGCTAGAGTATGGGCGAGTGACCAATTCTTGGCCAATCAGATGCGCCCCTTTATTTTGAATCGAGAGGTAGTGGTGAAAAGAATAAGCAGTGGGCAGTTCTTTCTGGAGGTGATAATGTCCGGTTTTCAGGCCTCCAAGTGACTGTCGCTGGCAGTGTTGGTAGTGGTACAAACTGCAGTAAACTGAGTTTGTAAACTACAGTTGTGTTCTGAACAGAGTAGTTCCGGGATATGATTTTGACTGTGGTTTTGACTATATAATCATCCTTATTCTTGTCCATTTTTTTTTGAGCCTGGTTCCCTAACCTTGGGAATTCATGAGTTCTACATATCCTTTTAATAAACTCGTTCCCTCATGAATCAGCACTAATCGGTTTCTGTTGCCTGCATCTAAGAACTCTGAGAGTTGCAACCCTGTTGTTTAATTGCAAGCCCAGAGACCACCCTCGGTTATAGCTAAAGCCATGCTAGTGTTCTGCACTAAGTACATGGTGGTTCCCTTTTGTTTCATGTGCTTTGGGTTTAAGAGATACCTTAGGACAATATCTAATGACAAAGTCCACGATATGTACTTAATTACGATATTTTTGGGAAGTTCTAAAGGAATCAGATCTGCTAGGGACAAAACTGTTTCCCCAGAATCACAGGTAAAGCTCTGGACTGTGTTTTGGGGTTTTAGCAAAAGAAATAAAAGTCTATATTCTGCTCATCCATTTCCTGAAGGCTCCCTTGACATCCCTATTCCTCATGCTATAGATAAAGGGGTTCAACATGGGGATCACTACTGTGTACACGACTGTCACAATGCGACCCTTGGTCACTGAATAGCTGGAAAGGGGCTGGAAGTAGACCCATGTGAGGGTGCCGTAGAATATGGCCACCACCGTGAGGTGGGAGCCACAGGTAGAAAAGCCTCTCCACTTGCCCTTTGCTGAGGGGATCTGGAGGACTGCCGAGATGATGCAGGCATAGGAGGCGGTGATGAAGGTCAGAGCTCCACTGACGATAATAACACCTTCCGTGTGAATCATCAGGGTATTGAGGTGGGTGCTGGTGCAGGAGATCTTCATCAGAGGGTAGAGGTCACAGAAGAAGTGAGGGATCCTGTTATCTGCACAAAAGACCAGTTGGCCCATGAGAAAGGTGTGCAGCAGGGCATGAAGGTGGGAGAGGACATGGCACACAGCCACCATCTGCGCACACAACATTCTGGTCAGGATCATAGAGTAGCGTAAAGGGTGGCCGATGGCGATGTACCTGTCATAGGCCATCACAGCCAGGAGGAAGTTTTCCATGGCTGCAAAGCAAATGAAGAAATAAGTCTGGGCTAAGCAGCCCAAGTAGGAAATGGCCTTTGTAGGCGAGAAAGTATTCTGCAGCATCTTGGGGACCGTGGTGGAGGTGAAGCAGATATCTGCCAAGGCCAAGTTACCAAGGAAGATGTACATGGGGGTATGGAGGCGTGGAGTGGAGATAATCAGTGTGATGATGGCAAAGTTGCCAGAAATGTTGATTGTGTACATCAGTAGAAAAAGAAGGAAGAGTGGGATCTGCTCCTCTGGGTGGGTAGAAATGCCCAAGAGAACAAAATGGGACACACTAGTCCAGTTGCTATTGCCCATCTGTTGCCATAGGAACAAAAAAGGTTACTTTTATAGACTTGGACATATGAGTAGGCTGTTTAGTTACTGTCTCTGTTGTATAGAATGAAGAGAGCAAGTATTTAATAATTTTCCAAAATAATATGGATTTTTTGTTATCATTAACATTATTGTTATCACCATAGCTGACATTTACAGAGTATTTACCTTGAACTAGGGACTTTGCTGAATTATCACATTTAAATTTTACAGTAACCCCATGAGGCAATTATCATCATCATCATTTCAGTTTTAAAATTAGAAAACTGAGGCTTGGAAAGTTTAAGTTTATAAAGGACAAAATCTGAATTTAAGTCCTGTTTATCTGGTTCCAAAGGCTATACTATTAACCACTACATAACATGGCTCCCCAAATTAAGACCAAGACATCTTATTCATGGTAATAAGACCTGTTGATGAACTAATCAAGGAATATGCCTGCTGAAAGAGATGTCAGAGGTCGTTTGGTTCAGTAATTTTCACTTTGGGGATGCATACCCTTGCTGGTAACCAAAGTTCTTAAAGAGCACATAGACATTATTTTAGAAGAATAACTTTCCAGATTCTTAATTTCCATAGTTCTCTTTTCTAAACACGTCTTGTCTTCAGTATGTCTCCTATGCATTACACTGTCTCCCATGTAAGAAATGAAAAACAAATAATAATAGAATTCATGCTGATTTTTGATTTATTCTGCCAATAAGTAATATACATTTCTGGACATATGAACTTGTTTAAAGAAAACATTGTTTCATTAGATGACTTTATGTAAAACTATTATTTAAGTTTAATAATTATTTGCACAATTTGTGATATATTACCTTCTGAAATTCTGATTTTTGTAGTCAAAATAGGTAAATATTGGCAACTTAATACAATTGAAGCTAATAATTATATAATTTTGGTCAGTTGCCTACTACTAATAATTATAATAATAACTCAACTCAGATAATTTTTTCCTGATTGTTTTTAACACTTAAAATTTTATGGTCACAAAAAATTAAAAATAACTAACTTTATATTCTCTTTTATTGTAAAAAGTAAGACAGGTGATTATAAAAGTCTTGTCAGCACAAACAACATAATAAAATTTGTATTGGGGGAGAAGAATAAAAGTATATCTTTAAATTGAAAAGAAATGATGTAAAACTAGAGCTATTAAGGATGACTTCATTCTTGAATTTTAAAAATGGGTAATGTATGTATCAAATAACTGTGGTATTTAGAAGCCATTGGATATGCTTTAAGAAATAATGTAAAGCTCTGTTTTAAAAGTACAATATACCACATATTATATCCCTATAGCTATTTAAATATCTAAGAATAATTTTATATGCTGGTTTTAAAAAGTGCAGAAGTTTTAATTAGGAGGCACATGAGCAAAAACTATAAAGATCAGAGACTTGACCCAACTTCTCAATCAGTGCTGGACCTCCTGTTATAGGATCACAGTACAATTAACATCCTTCCACTTCTTGAATGCTTTCAGGGGCAGAAAGCTCTAATTGTCAGAATATTTTTCTATAGAAGAAGCTGAAGTATGATTACCTCTCATCTCTGTCCACTGGAACGAGTTTGATTTGGATCTCATAGAATAAGCCTATTCTTTAACATGAAAGCCATTGAGAAACTTAAACATCAATCAACAAAGGAAGCACTATGCCGTGGTTAAAAGCCCAGCATTAGTTTTCTCATCTATATAAAGGGGATATCAATAGTACAGACTATTAAAGTTGGTATGAGGATTAAATGAGAGTACCTGGTCCCTGGCAGGTATTCAGTAAGTGCGGACAATTTTTCCCTAATTTCTGTCATTCAAATCTCTCTACTACATACTTGTTCCACTTTGTCACTGTCCTTAAAATGTGTTTCCCAGAACTAAGTAAAATTCTATGAGTCTGGTCTTTCATGACAGGGTAATCATAATGATTTTGTCTGGTCATAAATAGTAACCAAATATCTTTTTTGGAGTGGGGATCAGAGTTGGCAGTCCACAAGTAAGCTGTACTCATGGCTATTCAAAGAGTTCTTAGCCTTTGCAATTTGCTCTTTAGGAGAAAAAGTGCAAACAATTGAGAAGTGTCCCTGTTTAAGACACCTTTTCAATATATTATCTCATATAATTGTTATAGCAATTCCAGGTCATTTCTAGCTGTGTGTTCCTGCAACAATCACTTATTATCCTTATTTCATAGACAAGAAAATCAAAATGTAGGAAGGCGAGGTGATTTGTTCAGCATATCTTAGTATTAAATAGTGGCTGGACTTCACACTATGTCTGGATACCTTGGGAGCTCATATGTGTCTGATTCCCCATTTCATTTACTTAGCTTCTTCTCCATGGAATTGGATTTATTTATTACTCCTAGTTTGTCTGTTAAAGGATGCCACCATGTTACATTAGGTTTTTCAAGCATAAAAAGCATGGCAATTCATAATATGACATTGAATATGCTGGATTGACTTCAATATAGCATAATGATGAATGTGGACAAAAAGTGGTGGCCACGTTTATGGAGCACTTACTATCTGCCAGGAATTGTTCTAAAAGCTGTATATATGTTTTCATGTGGTGACCACAGCAATTCTGTGATGTAAGTATTATTATCTTGACTTTATAGATGAAGAAATTGAAGCTTAGATGGGTTCTGTGATGTGCTCAAGGCCATAGTAAGTGGTAGAACTGGAATTTGAATTCAGCTCTTTCTGACCTCAAAGCCCATGATCTTAACCACTGGGTTAAGCCACCTCTTAAACCTTCCCTCACTATTCCAGTTGCTACTTTCCTCTTTGTTTCTTGCCTTTCCATTTGTGCTATCCGGGGCATTGGCCAATGATAAGTACCTGTCATTTTTTTTCTCGTTTAATCCTCATTATAAAACTAGAGAGTAGATACTATTATTCCCATTGTTAGATCATGAAACTGAGCACTGAAGGGAATGAATTAACTTCTGCAAGGTCACAGAGAGTAGGGTTGGAGCCAGGTTGATTTTAGATGTGTCTAACTTAGAATCAATGTTTTTTCCATCTTACTTCACCCATTTAACACCCGTGTTCCACTCTTGCTGGGCCTGTTTTCCCTTATTAGCCTGTCATTGTAATTCGACTATTCAAATGAAAGTTTGCAACTCTAGCCTCCATGGCTGGACATTAGGCGGCCTTGAGTTTATGGTTTCGAAAACATGGTATGTCTCTTCTCAGGTCTTAGGAAAGACCTAAGAATGGACTAATCTCTACTTGACAGCAGTAGATGGTTGCTACCTGGGGCAACACCTACGTAGCTCCTGTGACAATGCTACTCATAAGGCTAGAGAGAGTTCCAGGAGTGGTCAGAGGGTGAGCTGCCTGGAACCTTGGAGTCCGCCTTGTCTCCCTCATCGCCGGCAGAGATTATTGTGCCTGACCCATAGTGCGGCGTTTTAGCAGATCCATCCACTATGGGTAGGCGAGAGGCATGAGGTGTGGGCAAGGAGGTGGGAAGCCAAGAATTGAGAAATATTAGAGGAAAATCTTGCATTATAAAAGGCTGTTATTAAAGGAAGAGTAATGTCGTGTGTAGGAATGGGCTTTGACTCAGGAAATGGAAGGTCTAGGCTTTGGTCCCAAGTCTGCCATGAGAATTATGAGACCTTGGGAAAATCACTTCCCTTCTTGGGGGCCTTGGTTTTTTTTATCTGGAAAGTGGGAAGAATAATACCTGCTTTCAATACAGAAGCTTTATTAAAAAAAAAAAAAAACCCCAGGAGATTATAGACATGAAGGCCCTTTAAAAATCCTATGAAACAGTGAGTTGATTATTTCTACTCGAATAGGAACTTGGGTTCCCTATCACAGATTAGGTCCCTACAATTGCTGACAATCTGATCCATAAACTGCCCTTTGTAAATAAAGGAGGCACTTAGATAACACTATGTAGTCTATTCTCTGAGTTTCCCTGTTTGATCATTAATTCCTAGAAGTGAGAAGAAATCTCAGGATAAGTTGTTAAGAGAAGACAAAATGGGCAACCATGTCAAGGGGATAATTTATGGATCACCTAACCCTGATTGCTCATAATACCTCTCCAACTGATTGAAACTCTGGAATTCCATTAAATATTTTCTCTGATGCAGGGGAAATCTCCCTGAAGGGGATTACTCTTGACCTTGTAGATAATTTATTCTTTCTTGTGGATAGGTTTTAATAAAGGGAGGTGAGAGAGTCCAGGAAGATGCAGTATATCTGAGGACAGTGTAGGGGAGAGACACTACAAAGGGAGGGAAAAGACAAAAGATCTAGGGTGTGTCAAAGACAAACTTTACAATACTCACAATATTGTGCAAGGGATCAATTTTTAGAAAGATGGTCCTCCTTCCAGGAATTATGGAATTTCTGTAATTCTAGGAAATGTCTAGGGTGTCCAGAAACTGCTGTGCTGGGTGCAGCTCTCTAAGTGCAGATCCTCACCTTACCATGGACTCTCTGCCACACTGCTCTGGGCTGGGCCTGGCACTTCCATCCCCCTGAAGGGAGCATGTGCCACCATATCTTCTTTTGACAGCAGCACAGAGAAGACCACTCAACGAAGACAGGAGAAGTTGGCCAGCACAGAAGAAAGGCATCAGGGACGAGTTGAAGGGGTAGAGCTTCCAGGCTCCTGATGGTGCTTCTGCTTGTTAGGGATAGTAGGACATGTCTGGGGAAGGCACTGGGAGCTGAGCTTTTGTAACATGCTTCTGCATGGGTCCCATGGTTCTCGCCAGCACAGAGCCCCAAGTGTGTCATTGGGAGTCAAGGGTTGGACAATGCAGGGGGCCTTCTCTGGGGAGTGGGGTCCACGAGGCAGTGCTTCCAATGTCAGTATTAGTGACTGTGGCTTGGCAGCTCAGCTGATCCCAGGAAAATGGCCAGGGCCTGGAATTCAGTCTGGACATTGGGTTCTCTATATGCACCCCAAACTGGCTCTGGGAATGAAGCCCACAGAAACTTAGACATGGTCAAGA